AATAACACATTTTCATTGAAATTCAAATATAATACACAGTACTTAATTTACACTTAACATCTGGTAAAGGGCTAGTTGATGGTATTTAATAAATTATTTAGACATTTTAATATTTATAAATTATCATTTTGACCCAATATCTATTTTAGAATCTCACCATTTGAGGGCTTGGTTTCATAGTGTTGCCACCTATCACCATAACATCCCATATTTCTCCTCTCAAACAGAGAGAAAAATATTGCAATGCTACCCATCTTGGTGCCATAGAGCTCTTAGACTTAAATTATACCTTGAATCACTAAAATTTCATAAAAATATTAGAACAAGTTAGATTATGTACTATAATACGTAAAATCAACCAAGTTATATAATAGTGGGTATTACACATCACCTGACAAAAGGTTATTCTGAGCATCGTCTCCTACTGACTATAGTCTTTCAACCACCAACACTTGTGTATAATGCTCTGACTATTATTGCATGGCAATTTTGGTCCCAAGACCACCATTGCCCTATTAAGTTCTCAGAGCACCATTATTCGACTACAATCCATCTAACTGCTATCACATAACTACATTCATCTGCCCACTATCATAAAACTATGGCCCTTTAACTAATGCTGCTCATCAAGTACAATTCTCGGAACACTATCACCCGACTACCATCCATGAACCATCACAACAAAACTAATTTCTTTTGACCTCCATTGCCGACTAAGCGCGGTCATCCAACTATGGTTGTCTGACTATAATCCTTGGACCACCTTCACTTGACTATAATCTTTGGACCACCATTGTTCTATTAAAAGAGTTGCTATTTGCATGTTTTAAATTCTTGCAACTTGTATAGTTTTGATGATTTCAAATATTATTGTTTTATGTATAGTTATCTCCTAACATTTTTTGGAAGAGTTGTTTTTGCTCTTGTGTGTACTAACATTTCAGAAAAATCAAACTCCAGACTACAAAGATTTCAAATCAAATTCAACATGAGATACTTTGTATATTTAAAACTTGTATTTTTCTTTGAATTGAGTTTGAGAGGGAGTGATTGTAATTGAGTGAATACACACACACTTTAGGAGATCTTGAGAAATTTGTACTGATCATACGGGACGAACATAATTCATACGGGACGATCATGTCAGTTATCTCCTCGTAAGAGCAATGGAACGAACTGGAGTTGAAGAAAATTTTTCTAAGTTCTGATCGTCCAGGATGAAGTGTATTCGTCCCAGGACAAAATGCTCTCTATAAAATTTTCGTTTAGAATGAAGTGTATTCGTTCCAGGATGAGTTGCTCTCTAGAGTATTTTCATCGAGAACGAAGTGTATTCGTCCCGGGACGAGTTTCTCTCTTGAAAAATTTCTTTCGGATTAATCCATATTCGTCCCAGGACGAAGTAAACCGGCTCTGAAATTTTAGTAACGTTCTACAGTTTTTGGTAACCGACCTATGGAATAACCGGACGAACCTAGTTCGTACGTGATGATGTGTGTGTATGAAGTCATTTCGTACCCATATATATTATGTTCGTTTCCAGCGCATTTAAGTAAAATTTTCCAGGACAATCCACGATCGTACGGGACGATCGAATGCGTATTGACTTGAAAATTTGCAGTTTTTGGACGGTTTTTTGTGTCTTTCCTATGAATACTCCAAACTAAACTGCCACTTAATCATTTTGCCTACTGATCTTCGTGCCTATTGAAAGAAGAGTCAAAAAGAGAGTGTGAGAGAGTGTTTGAAGGAGATTTCTTGCCATTGGAGCGTGAAGGTTTCACTTGGTACTCAAAGGTAAGACTCTTTACTCTTGGTTTGTGATTACTTCACTCTTTTCTCTCTTCCTTCTAGAATTCTTATGAAGAATATCTGTCAAGGAGATCCGGTTTTCTATCACACTTGAAGAGTGTGAACAGCCGAGGGTTTTTTGCCCACACTAGGAGAGTGTGAAAGGACGAAGGTTTTCTGCCCACACTAAGAGAGTGTGAAAGGATAAAGGTTTCTATGCCCACACTAGGAGAGTGTGAAAGGATGAAGGGTTCTCTGCCCACACCGGGAGAGTGTAAAAGCATGACGGTTCTCTGCCGCATCGGGTAGTGGTGGAAAGAGTGTTTGGAAAGGCTTTTCCGCCTTACTGTGGGTGCAAAGGGAGAGTCACTAGTGGTAGTGGCATTAGTGCAATACTCAGATGGTGCCTCCGAGGAGTGGATGTAAGTCTGGTTTTGACCGAACCACTATAAACCTCGTGTCTTTATTTTTTCGCTGCTTTTTTATTTTTTTGTTTTTACTTTTAAAACTGTGGTTGAAAAATATTTTCTAGAAAAATTCACTAAAGTTTTATTTTTGTTTCCTAATTTAAAAAGAGGGTTAAATTTTTTAAATACCAATTCACCCCCCTCTTAGTTAGCCGTGGGACATAAGCTTAGGTTTAACAACCTAATTCATAGTGAACGAGTTTCAACATGTTCAACTACGGTCATTTGACACTCGTCACCTGACTATGGTAAATGAACCACCGTTGCCTAACTTTAATTTTCTGACGTTCATTGCCTGCCGAATATGGTCGGCCAACCACAACCACCCGCTAGGTCCTTTAACCATTGTCGCTTGATTATGGTCCTTCCAATCTCCATCTCCCACTGACCATAGTCCTCCAACCTCCATTGCCCCACAGACTGCAGTCCGCCAACCAAAAATCTTCTAATCATTATAACATGGTTACTATGACGCCTATTGACTTAATCACCAACCAATAATGCCAACACACACCACTTATAAGATCAATGCACACCATCAACATCAACTTCAACACTAGGGTTTATATTTGATTTCTGCCACGGAGCTCCTCCAATTTGAATAATTTTACATGTTTAGTATTATTGCCTCCCCTGGAGGAAGGGCGTCACTTGCAATCAAATACAAATAATAGTGAAATTATTTTTACTAGGCCATGCCTCAAGATTTATCTCTTTACTCGATTTTTCAAATAAAAACCTTAGTGTCTCTTATAATTCTTATACTCATTTCTTATATATGGGTATGATGGATTTTTGTGCAAAGTTAGGACGTCAAAACTCTTTCTCTAGCACTATGAATGTTCTGAAATGCTACAAGTTTAATTTTATTAAGAGATAATATGTGATGACATATGTATAGTAAAATTAGCCTACAAAATCTATTAAAATATCCAAACGCTATTTTATTTTATATTCTTTTTTTGGTGGTTGGCCAGTGCGTTGGTTTGCATCAAACATTTCCGATTTTAATCTCATGTAATGGGATTCATTTTTTAAAAAAATTTGGACATGGCCTGTATATTAATTAACCACCAAAATATAAGAAATGGGCCCTTATATTCATAATCTCTTTTGTTTCTTTTTGGATTCATAATCTTTTTTTAGTTGCAATTGTTTCAATCTAAAAAGCTTGTAGTAGGTTGGTATGCAACTAACTGAAACAGGTTAAAATTTTGGAGCAGAATTCAAGGTTAAGTAACACACAACTCTCCTTGGCCTATTGGTTGAGAGCTAAGGCTTCCAACTAAGAGGTTTAAGGTTCGAGTCTATGTGTATGCGTCGTGTGTGTGAGTTTGCCTTAAATGGCCTAAATGTCCCAAAAAAAAAACATACATGTTATTGTTTTATACTACAAAATTATCTTTTTTTATTTTTTTTTTAAATTCCTCTGATTTTTTTTTTTCATTTGGACTTAGGATCAGCATTAATTAAAACTATCAATTATTGCAAGTCAAATCAAATCAACTTGAGCCAAAATTAAAGCAACATGAACCAATTCAAATCAAACCTCATCAATTTAAACTAAATTAGGTTAAGTCGAGTCATGTCAAGCTAATTTGAACTATAATGACCCATTCATTCAAATTTAACTCAAACTCAATTCTAAGTTTTAGGAAATTTCATTTCTAGCTCTTCTATTCAACTTTTTTGTTCCTTGGCTAAGGCGCGGGAGGGCGAGAGGAAATCATTGCTAATGTACAGCAATGGATATCTCAAAGCAAAAAGAAAACTAGGAGAAACCGATCCAATATAGTGTGATAAAGATTTGATGGTGTTGTTGTTATAGTGATGGACGGCTTATTTATTTGAACTTGTCAAAAATGATAGTAATTCAAACAAGTTCAAATTTGAACCTAATTTAAATGTGTCTTAACCATGCTGCGGTACTGGAGACATGCTAGTTTGAACTGGCTGGTTTAAACCATGGTTAGAACATGTGGGTTAAAATCAGTCTCGAAAATGTTGGGTTCAAACCAAGCACAAACGCGCCAAGAGCTCGTAAAATCAATGACAAGTAATAAGAAGACGAGTTCGTTGATGGGATCGCCATCGTGCAACATAATTGGGAAAGCATTGCGGTGGGGGAGAGGAGAAGATGATTTTGTTCTCGTTGGGATGGCATTACAAGACAACATGTGGCAGAAGAGGAGTTTCCTCACGAGACTGACGACCGACATTCGTATTGCTGGGGAAGACATTATGGGACTAACATCAAGTGAAAAAAAAGACGATCTTGCTAGTAGAGCTGACATTGTTGGGAAGGAACGGTAGAGCCGGCCTCATGTCAAGTATCCCACTTTTTGTCGAGTACTAAGTTGACATTGTATGCTGGGAAAGTTGACAAAGAACAATGTTGACGAGTTCCATATAGCCCTTTGGGCGAATTTGAGTTGCCTCGGTGAACGAGTAAAGGCGTGAAAATGCCTTAATTAACTTAGTTCAAACGATTATAAGTGAATATAAAATAAAAGTAAATCAGCAATTAATAAATAATTGCCAAAAAAAACAGAGAATCATAACCACGCCGTAAAAAATCAGTTATTGAAAATAACAAAGAATTTAGTTAAATAATTAGGTAAAATATACCAAGTAAACCCTAAACTTTTTTTTTTTATTTTTTATAACTAAGCAAGGCAGAGAACTTGAAAATAAATCATGGCAGGGTTTAGGGTTTTCAGATATAGGATCGAGGCAAATAACTTTTACTAAAAATTTACCTCCATAAATAGTAAAAGGTTAGGTAGCCTGTATACCACTTCAAAATACCATGAACAACCATATCCATATTATGAGTTCTGATATTCAGAGAATTACTCTCACTACAAATCATACAATCCTAAAAGGAAAAAAAAAAAAAAAGTCAGCTAATCCTCCTGTTGCAATAAAACGGCGCGGCTGTCGTCATCATCGGCGGTTACCGGACGCATCAGCATCGCCGTGTAGTACGGCATATGCCGGAATCCCACCCCCAAATCTTCTCCTCCGTCAGAAACGGCGGGGAAACCAAATCCTTTAAAGGCAGCACCGTAGTCCATAATACCGCTGAACTGGAAGAAACCAGTGGGCTGCGGTGGTGGCGGTGGTGGGGACGCAGGCGATGGGGCGGCGGAAGGGGTTTGAGTGAATCCGCTACCAGTGGCGGCGAGGATAGAGGGTTCCGCCTGACGAAGAAGCCACTCGATGGTCTGCCCGTCGGATTTATGACCGAGTTCCCGCGTCAACTGGAAGATCCTCGCCGCGCAGATAGGCGGCAACCGTACTCTCCTCCCACGCCCGTTCACCTTCGTGTGCCGATCCTTTGAAGAGCCTCCGTCGCGTTTCTTCCCGCCGGCGCCTTTTGGATCCGCTGTATCCGGCTGCATCTGAAGGGGCACAGCATTGATGGCGCCAGAGGAAGGAACAGGGGTAGGGTTATAGATTAAGAGATCCGACACCGGCCGCGATGGCAACGGTGGGGACGACGGCGATGGCATCAGAGAGAGTGAAGTGGGACCGGGCATGGCGAGGGAATTCTTTTTTTCAGAAGCGATGGATTGGAGTGTTTTAGTACGGGGGACGAGTTCCGGTTGGGGAAAGGGCAAAGGGGAAAGGAGAAATCTAGGGTTTCCGGATATAGAACCTCGATTTTGAAAGGATTAAAAATGGACCGCCGATTTTTTACAAGCGGATGGACCGGTACCCGAATCATATCTTTCTTTGTCCCGGTTCGATAAAATAAAAAAATAATATTAATTAAAAAAATATAATTTTTTCTTCCATCTTCAGACATCTGAGATGCATACTGCAATGCTGCGAATGAACCTAATATTTGATGCTTTACTTGTGATTTGATTATATAAGAATTTGTTTATGTTTGATTGATAAAGTAAATAAATGAGCACCAACAACTTTTATAAATATTTGATAGCTAAATAAATAAATTTGAACAACCTAGCATTTGTTTCGTTTATGTTCACGGACAACATTGTTTATAGCTCGTGAATAAATTCGATTAGAGTTCGACTAAAAAGTTCGATTAGTATTCTGTTAGAAATTGAAAATTAAATATTCTTAAATTAAATAATTTATTTTAACTAATTATAACACTTTATGTATACAAAAAAAGAAAAAAAAAAATCTCGCTCCGGTCCCGCAATGATGCAGAGCATTTTAGCTTAAATTGTTTCTTAGACATATGTTATATAGTTTGTTACAAGCTTATTATAGGATTTTAGAACTTTCTAGTTTTCTCTAATTTTCCATCTCATTATTATATATACTATGATGTAAGAAAAGTTGAGACATTGAATGAAATATTATACTCTTTAAAGTCTTAGAACTTGTGTTTTTGTTGTTCCCTGAATTGTGATAAAATCCTTCAAACATCGGATTCTTCCAATGATCCAACAACATCACGCAATAAAAAAAAAATAGAAAGAAAATTTCCCTGGTCATGTTTTTAAACTTCCGCTTTACTGTGTCTGTGCTCTCCGCTGCCCGTTTCATTTGAAAAAAAAACTGTTGGCTTAGTCCCACTCCGTGGAAGAGATGCCCTCTATAAATAAAAATAAAGAGCTTTGCTGGCCAGCTGATCAGCTCAACGTAGCATTATTGCTGTCGGCCTAACAAGCCAGAATATGTCTTAACGACAAGAGCAACTCCTTCAAAATAAAAATAATATTTATTTTATTAAACTATGCTCGGCAAGCCTAAATGAATCATGCTTGAATACGAACATGAACTTAGCTCGAACAAATTAGTTTTAAACGAGTTCGAACATGTATGAAAAAAAGCCCGTGAGCTCAAACACAACATTGGCAAATGAGCTTGAGTTTTAAACGAGCTTGAACATGTTCGAGAAAAAAGTCCGTTAGTTCAAACACAACATTGGCAAATGAGCTTGAGCTCAAACATGCTGAAGCACGGTGCTTCCAGGCTTCACATGTTCAATAAATTTTTAAAAAGATTAAATTTATTTTAAATTAGTATAAAATAAATATTATATATAGTATTAATATGTAAATAAATTCAAAAATTTTTAAATAATAATTACAAAGACATAATCAAGTGTTGGTATTACTTAAATTTTAAGTAGGTATTGTTAATTAATGTGAATGAAATGGTTCTAGACTTTATCTATGTATTTTATTTAAAATTGATTGGTATTGTAGGTGTGAATATGGATGATGATGTCTTTGCCTTGAAAGGGAAATTGGCGTGCTTTGCTTTGAAGAGAGAATGATAAGAATACATCTTTTAGCTCAAAATATTCTAAAGGTTTGTTTCTCTTTATTAGGGGCATCCTCATTATACAATGTTTATTGCTATTTGAGAAAGTTGAAATGATATGTTTTTCGAATCCAAATTTGTTTGTTATATTTGACCTTAAAAATAAGTAAACTTGAGAGATAAAGACCTGAGAGCTTATAATGAATAATATGAAATAAAGAATAATATTTTGAAAATTCATGAGGAAAGCAAAGAGGTAAATGCTCTACTAGTTCAATATGGCTTTAAGAAAGGTCCCAAAAGATCAAAAATTATCTCTTTGCACTTGATTTATAGGAATGGCTATAGAGAATGTTACACCAAAAAAAGATAGAAATATAGTTATAAATGAGACCCAATATGAAATGCTCAAGACACACGTCACAATATGATAGATGCTTAACGTGATTATTCTCCTTGGGCCCAATTTTTTACTTTGCGGCGAGTTCCTTTAGGTTAAATGTTTGTTGGGTCAGTCAATGATGAAGAATCCTTGGATGGATGACCTAAAATGACCAATGTCAACGAGGCATAAGGTCATTTTAGTGACCTACTAGGCGCATGTCACGACTCAGCTGGAAGGCTTGAATTAATAAGAAGGGAATAGATTATGTGACACAAAATTGGAATTTTTATTTACTAATAATATTACATTGAAAAAAGCCACTAAAACTTCAAAATTCATTTATGAAAATATATAGCAATTTGAAATAAATATTTCTATCATATATTATCATGTATATAATACACATTTTCTCTTATTCTGCTTATTTCATTTCTCTAAATGTGTATGAATATATTTGTTAAAGGATATAAGTGTGTTGTAACACTTAGTAATTACATCATATTTCCAAATTTGACAATAACACCATAAAATTTTTGAAATAATATGCATGCTTGCCTTAAACAAAAAATAATATAATATAATTTAATAATAACTATATTTATAAATGATATTGTAAATGAACTTACATCATATGATTAAGAAAGTAACATTCATATAATATCTTATAAAATTTTCATAAATATTATAACAATCATAAAAGCCACCTTCTAATTAGTGCCAATTAGGGTACTTTTTTCATTTATGTTAAATCCAAGTTTGCCTATGGATGATACATGGCTTTAATAGCAAGTTTACCCGAAGAGGAAAAGAACCATTGACTGAGAGTGGGGAGTAGAAAGGAAGAGTAGAGGAAAACCAGAGATCTCAGATAACTAGAAATTTCCCTACTTGTTTGAGAGACACCCTAGGATTTTTTCTAAAATTTTTTTGAGTCTTGAATAGTAATCATCACTCCTTACTTATAGAATTCCAAGCAATATAGTAAGGGCTATATAGAAAAAAGATAAAGTTGCAGCATATTAAAGTATACTTTACACATATACCATGCTATATATACACATTTTGGCCTCTAATTGGTGGGAGAGTAAGGATGGAGGATTTACCTTTGGGTGAGTGGGGAAATATTGAGAGAGCACTGGTGAATGGTGTATAGGATGAGCACCATAATGACTAGTGATGGAGGTTGTGGAGTGAACTTTTGAATTATATAAAAGTTCATACTATATTTGAGCTACACATATCACCACTATATGTATTAAATAAAGAATATGATGATATTAAAAATATCATTTATTTATTAAAGAATAAGTATTTTGATTAGTACTTAATATGTACGTTACATCATCAATCCAAAATAAGAGAATTAGCCATATAAAGAATAAATGACAAGTAAACTCATTTTTATTAAACTCGTAAAAGAATAAAAATATAAGAGAGTGATATAACAAAAAAGAATTAAAGTATCTCCTATAAACTCTTTTTCCCTTAATTTATAGTGTTGTAATAAGAAACACATGCTAAAACTCCAAAAAAATATATCTTATATTGTCACCACCCAACCCGACTGAGACATGTCCTATCATGCTTAGCTTTGACAAGAAAATCCCAAGATCTAGTATTAATTATTTCAAACTTTTTGCCAATATTTATATGAAATAAACTATAAACTACATAGATACTAAAATATCCAAATACAAAAAAAAAAAAGAAATTTTCTACAAAGTTTTTTTATTTCATCAATATATATATATATATATATATACACACACACACACACACACTATAGTACATGGCTACATGCATAAACTACATAACTAAAAGATAAACTGGCCATGCTTGTACAAAAATTAAAAAAAAAATACTTATAATCTCAAACATGATCCTGAACTATTAATCAATAATCTCCTAGCCTGGGGCTCATCAAGAGGGGGGGGGGGGTTAATTGGTAATTTTCTTAAAAAATTCTTAACTCTAAAATAATAATGACAATATGTTTTAACAATTTTAAAAAATTAAAAACCAAATTCTAATTGATTGTAGAAGCAAATGAGTTTATTAAAAAATATTAATTTTATTTTGATGATATTTTGATTTACAAAATAAAGGAATAATAAACAAATTTCCCAAGTAGCTATAACATAAATAAAAATGCAGGAAATATAAAAGTGCGAAAAAGAAAAAAAACACACCAGAGTTTTTAAAGTTGTTCATCAATCTTGACCTACATCCACTCCCTAGAGTCATCCACTCTAAGAATTATACTAAAATAAAGAGTCTCTTCTTTTGTTCTCACAATAGAGTGGAGAAGCCCTTATAAACTCACAGTCACCAAACCTGATGCGGCGAAGTGCTAGAGATTATGTTGCCCTCCTGGTGTTGGCAGCAGACCTTGACTCATTTTCCTTATTCTTGGAGAAGGCATAGAATCTCAGCTCCTTTTTCTCTCTTTTGGAGAAAGTAGAGTACCTCAAATACTTGACCTAGAAGCCTCTCTCATTAGAGATATTACAAAGACTCACTAAGGCCAAAGGAGGAGCAAGGGTGTAGCTAACCTAGAGCAGCCGTATGATCCCCTCACACTCATTCCTCACACTCAACCTCACCTTCTCCTTACTCTCAAACCCATGATTTCTCAAAGTTTCTCTCTTATAGTACCATCAGCAGTCACACAATCCTCTCTGAAAGTTTAATAAGGATGTTAAGCCCTAATAAACTAGTCCCAAGGCTAACCAAGAGGGGGCGAGGATGAATTGGATATTTAAAACATCTTTGACTAAAAAAAAAATTTAAATCTTACAGTGAAAATGAATTAAATCAATAATAAAAAGATTAATCAGAGATTTCACATAAACAGTTAATCACAATAAAAATAAAGTGCAAAAAATAATAAGAAAGAACAAACTAGATTTATAATTGTTCGGTCCAACTTGACCTATGTCCACTCCTAGGACGCACCTTACGAGTTTTGCACTAAACCTTTAGTGTCTCTCCTTTTTCCCCTACAGCTAGGCGAAGAAGCCCTTACAAAA